GCCCCGAAGCGACTGCACCAGCCGCTTGGCGCCCGAAGACATTCCACGGAGGTGATCCAGCCTTCCGGTTCTTCGGTGCTTCCTGCCTTCGCCGAATACACCCTTCTACAACCCCGACGACATCCACCTACGATTTTAAATTTGATACATTCTTCAATTGGAAAGATTGGAGATCATCAATCAATGGGAACGAGATATGCGAGACATCGATTGAACTTGTCATCTTCGATGTAATGTAAATCTTTGGAAGTTGTTCAAATAGATGACAGTGTCTTGTTCACACATTGAAATTAATGTGGAAAGTTTGAAATTGTTTTTAAAGATGGATACGAAGATGATCACATTTGCGAAAAAATTGAAGAAAATTGATTCCAATTGATTTCGGGTATAAAAATAATCGATTTATATGTGCCGGATAATGGAATAATTCTTGCCGGTCGATATTTCGATATTTCGGACAATGTGGACAGATGTGAGTCAAGCTCGAAAGGTAAACAAACCAAATCGAAATAAATAACGGATCCGTTGTTATTTCGTACTTTTTATTCGCGCAATGTTTACACGATCTCGTGTTTTTTTCATCATTTTATGCCCATTTACTTTTTTTATCGCGAGCAAATTATTACCCAATTTATCATTGATATTAAACAAGAAGCATGAGTCAATTAAATATTTTAATGCGAAAATCAACTGTACGCGTATTTAATTTTTGTAATTTATATTTCAGTATTCAAATTTTAATTTAATTTTGTTAAATTAATAGCATTCTGTTAATAATATTCAGTAGACTATGAATTAAACTATCGTTAAAATATTTTATTCCATTTTATATGCATATCAGATTATAAGTTACATATTACGGTAGATAAAAATTTAGTTTTCCCAAAATCAATTTAACATCAATAAAGAAATAAATTCAAAATACGATCTCACCGAACAAAGATATCCGTCGTCTCAGTGAGAGTCCACCAACTGGGAGTTATCAGCGAAGATAGACACACGCACACACAACCTCGACCGGTGTCACCGGCCTGAGCGCACGATCACGTTCATGTTCTTTCTTCCTTCCTCCTACGATCGACCTCCTCCCTTTCGCGCGATCAAAGTCGAAACCGAGATCCACCGATCTTAGACAGAGCCACGAAACACGCGTGCACTCAGCAGTCGAGAAACAAAAAAAATTCGTCTTAACGGCATCACACGATTACCACTCGCGATTTGCTCGTCAACGGAAGATCCTTGAGCATGAAACGCGATTTCTCACGAGCCTGGTTAAAAAGATATATCACCGACATGCCACGAGTACGTATCGAGGAAACGCGAGATTGAACAGAATTCGAACGACACGTGCATACACCTATCTCTTCCTTTTCTCTTCTTTCTCTCGCGTTTTATTTCGAACGTTGACTAATCTCGTCGCACTGAAGGAACACACCGTATATACGAGACTCTTTAAGGGACAGCAGCCGTGCAACAAGTGTCTCGGGTCACGGTACTCATGTCACGTGCTTGCTTGCACTCCTTCTTCGACGAGCTCTACGACGAAGCACTCAATGCTCCTCTTTGTCCTTCGCCCTCTCGCCAAAGCGATCACGATTTAACTTCCATCGAAGTAGTGTATAGCGCGATAGTACCTGAAAATAGTAGACGAGAGTTAGTTTGAAGCGTGTTGTTTGTTGAGAGATGGATTTAGAATTGTGAAATTTTATTTGACTTTGAGAATTTATCGATCGATGGTTCTTGGAATAGAAAAAAACTTATATATCTTTTATATTCTGCGTAAAATGAATTATATGATATATGAGATATATTCTTTGCTAATTTTTAGCAATTTCTATTTTAAGCTGTGAATTTATAGCATTTGTTGCCTACAAAAAACGCTTACGTAGCAAAGCAAAGTTTATAAAATTTTTGCAGATTTAGTGAAAATTTTTTTTACATTAGCTAAATAAATATATAAACCACTGTGTAAACCAAATATACTACACTGCGAATATATTATCTGTTCTATTTGATATAATTTATTATAAACAAGTATTTATATTCTCACATTACAATTAAATTAAGATTAGATTAAAATTACAAGACAATTTTTAAAAAAATAATTCGAATTATCAACCATTACGAGTAATTGGAATATTTCTGTGATTTTCTTATACGAATTTAAGATTTGAAAAAATATTACAACAAGTAACAAGTAATGTTACAAATGAAAATAATCCATTCTACCGTTTTTCATCTTTTATCTTGAAATAAAAAAAACAAGTGGAATAGCCAAATGGAATATAAACGAGGGAAATGATATATTATGCAAAAACTTACACAAGTGATATAAGCGAATATAAGTGGATATCTGGTTAAATCGAACAAAAACATATCACTCGCGAAAAGTGAATTTTATACAATAATAAAAGACATTTGATAGCACTGATTTAAGAAGCATAAGCACGAAAAAATATTGTGACAAAACACACGCTGAAACTACCGTTTCAAACTGAAGAAGATCATGGCGTCTGTTTGGTAGCCATCTACAGGCCTTATTCGTTACTATTTCCAACAATTCAGAAGTAAATTCGCAGTAGATAACTGTAGGTAAATAAATGCTATGAAAAATGAAAATTGTAAAATTGTTTAAAATAAATAAAATATAATTTTCGTAATTCAAATATATGTAAAACCACTATATATATTTTTCTTTCTAATATCATATTCACTTCTTATTACTTTTTATTTTTACCAACAAACAAAGAGAACTACTTTAGTCAAAAAAATATATCTCCTAATTACAATATTAATATTTCCTTTGAAAATATGTTTGATTTACACGACACAAATCCCTCGCACACAAATTAGACATGTCGTTTAGAAAGCATCCTATTCCATTTACTTCCAAGCTAAATATCACACGAGACATGTTTAGAAGCGGGCAATGTATCTTGTTCATAATTCGTAAGAGGAAATTTACGCGGTCGGGCTATGTTGCGAAGTCGAGCTATAATAGAGTCCACCGTTTGAGAATTAGATACTCGGTGCGGTGATGAGCGAGTAATGAGACAGGGATTAGAAGAAGCATCAAGGAAATGGCTAATATCAATTATCCGTGACCTGAATTGGATAGAAGGCTCGTGCGCCAGAAAGGTTTGAGACAACGATAAATGACTGGGTGAATGAGTCGTGCGATTTGATATTAACAAAACAAGGGTTTCGATTACCCTTCCCTGAACAGAGATACTCTCACGATGAATTCTAGAGTTACACCCGACGCATTAATAACCCGATCAATTAACTCCGTCTTGAAACTTATTCCCCACAGACAGATTTCCATTAAATTACTTCGGTATCATGCGTAAAGAAGTTCTCAAGTTTCGCGATAAAATTTCGCAACTAGTATTCCACCTGATACGCTCGAGTGTAGTAAGAAAAAAATTTTCAAACGTAGACAGATAGATTCTATATATCAATTGTGTCAAAGACAGAACCACTATTATTCTACAAGTGAACTTTTCAAACGCCAACTCGAGTTATTTTCGAAGCGTTAGTTAGAAGACTCGCCTCTTAGTGTGTGTATTCTACTTAGTATAAAAGTAAAAATTTTTCGCGGAACCATCTCGACGCGAGGATACGAAACGTGACGAGAGGATAAGAGGGGAAGAGAGAATGGACAAGCGCACCAGTGGAGCAGACCAGAACATTCAGCTGTCGCGTTCAGTTGGCTTGACGTATTATTTCCACCTATTATTCTCCCGTTGCCTATAAAAAGGACACTTTGACAGTAGCGATGACACTCGACGATCGTGATACGGGCAAAAGCCCGATATATCGAATTATTTCCCGTGGACAAAGGACGGCGAATATCTCGTCCTGGACAGCGTCCTCGGCAATCGTGGCCGCTTTGTTCCAGTTATTCCTTCCCGCGATAACCGGAATATTCTGGATCTGCTCGCGGAACAGATCGAAGAAATTGGTCGCGAGGAAGAAAAAAAGGTTGAAGTTGAAAATTCAACGAGGCGATAATTATTTCGATTCTTAATTAATTTTTGATATAAATAAATATTCGTTATAAATACATATTTCATATAAATAAATAAATAATCGTTCGAGAACGAAAATGAAAATGAAAAAGAAAATTAAGATTTTTTCGCGTAATATCTTGGGTCGTGAAGAATATCTACTTGGAACGAGCAATGACGATGATCGATCCATCGGTTACGAGATAATACGACAAGCGATCGCATTTCTGTTTCACACTTAACGATGAATACAGGCTCTCGCCATCGTCAGTCTGATTGAGACAAACTCGATGCCGTCCAATTTCGATAAATTAAACGCAATATATATATATATATACGAATGTGCGCACAATTCTAATTGGACGAAACTATAATCGTTTGAATCGTAGAATTCAATTTGTTTAGAAATAAAAATAGAATCTTCTCGAAAAAAGAACGCGTGCTATTTATTGCTGTGTATCAAGCTTGAAAAATTACTTTCTAACTGGTTAAACGATTGTTCGTAATTTATCATCTTTAACATCACGTGTTAGACGATGCGAGAAAAAAACGTCTATTAGACTTGGTGGATGTTCAGACAATGTTGTACACCGGATGAAACATTGAATAAAAAGTTGGAATCATTTTTCAAAAGGCTAACACTTAAAAGCTTCTAATAGTTTCAGCCGCAAGAACACGGCACGTAAAAGCTTCGAGAGTTTTGTTTGCAAGTTTTGCACCGCTTACAAATAGATAACTGTATGTACGCCTTTTTTAGGAATTTTAAGCCTTCTTTCACACCGCGTGAAATACAAATGCAAAAAGATGTTGCGAATTATTCTAAATATACATCGAGAATATTTTTTTGTTTCAAATATAGAAAAAAAAAAAAAAAAGTACAAAAGAAGATTAAAATGTCTGAATACTGATGAACTACTTTTTTTAGACAGTTCTTCGTATTTTGCACACTGCTCCAATGTTAATTTACTGCATTGAATACGGATACGCGCTGCGTATAATTAGAGCGTTACGCATGTCCTTAATTTGAAGAGATGGCTTACAATTCTACACATCGATCTTCCTTAGAATCTCGTATTCGCGTGGGTATATCGAATTACTTCGAGAAACCGAAAGAGATTTCAAGATCGAATTTTTCCTTTTGAATGCTAGATTTAAAGATTATTGATACAAATTTGAATTTAAACATTTTTGCATTTAAGGAAATAATATTTATTTCTATAAGATAATAGATAGTAGTGAATATTATCAAAAAATGAAATAATTTATTAATTACAAATTAATTTACTAATATAATTTTCTTATTTTTCTTCGTGAATTCAAAGAATTATTTTAAGCCCTTTTTATCACGAGGATATAGGGATTTCTATGATATGGAACATTGTTTAATTGAGAATTCATTCATTAGAAAATATTGGCATCTCTACGTTACATTCACGATTATTTGACAATAAATTTTCATTTATTTACGAATATCTCTAATATTTACATTATACTCGTTAAATAAAAATATGACGTAAAATATGAGTTTCATTTATTTAAATTATTCATTGTCTCATAATTTTTAATATTTTCGACGAATAAATAGACGAAAATAATTGAACTATTAAAAAGTAACAAAATAAAAACTTTTCCTATCGTGAAATGTAGAAAATTATATATTTTTCCATTCTGAATCATCTATGGTTTTATAGACGTAATTTAAACCGTTTTAAAACTTGGAAGAAGAATCGTGAACTTATTTATAAGCATTATTTTGCTCGTTGAGCATTGGCAGGAGATAAACTGGCTGAAATGGCATATCCAACGGTTGAATCGTAATGGCGGGAAAAATTTGGACGCGGAGGTTGGAAAGCGAGGTTAATGCGACCACTGAAAATATCCCAATCCACGATTGAGGTTTTGCTTTGCCTCTCTTTTACGACTGGCTTCGATATAGGTATAAACATTGATACGTTGCAGCGTATTCAGTTGAAGTCGTGAAGCGTAGCCAGGATATCCGAGTTAATGGACGACTGGTGGTATACCAATGCGACGTGAAACGATTTAATGAGGCGTCGTTTATACGAATGCAAAAGTTTCGGGCTAGAATCGAACTTACGAAGATCGTTGCTAGCGGTTTCAAAATAGAATAACCTTTGATTGACCTCTGTGGATCAATAACGTGCGCCATTAAAAAGATAAAATCGATAAAAAGAAATATTATAATTTTGCTCCATCGATCAACAGATTCGTTCATATTCTTTTTATATTCTTTGATCAAACGTAAAATTTAAAAAAAGATTTGTCGCCAAAAAATACGTATCTTATTTTTCATCAAATAATTTTTTTTTTTTTCACGCAAACAAGAAATACAGAAAACTATATTATTGAAGCTATTTTTTGTATTCCGATATTTCAATTCGTTATTGATATATAAAAATTCAAAGTTTCTATTGAGACAGTGCAAAGATTAATTAAATGGACTATTTAATAATTTACACTTCTTGAAAATGTCTTTTCAAGATTCGTGCATTTCACTTGTTTTAACTTTAGGATAAGTCAGTAAGACGAGATGCGAGCGAGATGTCCGCGTAGAATTTAAATAGTAAATAAAAATTATCCTTTTCTTTACACGATGATATTTT